GGCTGATTTGGAAAGAATTTATTTGCAAATTATGGTGGGAAATAAGTATTTGGTCACCTACAAACAAGCAAGATTTCTGGCTCTCACAGACCTGTACCTTCTTCTTTAACCACTTCCAGACCGGACACTTTTACCCCCTTCCTGACCAGGGCAATTTTCAGCTTTTTGCGCTATCACACTTTGAATGACAATTGCGCGGTCATGCAACACTGTACCCAAAAGAATTTTTTATAATTTTTTTTAGATAGATAAAGCTTTATTTTGGTGGTATTTATTCACCACTGGGATTTGTATTTTTTTTGCTATGTAAATGTAATGTCCAAAAAATTTTTTTTAAAAAGTGTTTTTTTTATAAAATTTTGCAAATAAATAATATTTCATCATAAATCTTAGCCAAAATTTATTCCGTTATCTTTTTAGTAAAAAAAAAAAAAATCCAAATTAGTTTATAAGCAAAAATTATAATTTTGAAACATTTTTTTTTACATTTTTATTTTATTTTTTTATATTATTATTTTTTATTTTTATTTTTATTTTTTTACATACTGTCACCATAGCAGTACAGTGTCACCATGGTGACACTGTACTACTTGTGAGGGGTGATAAAGATTTTTTTTTTTTTTTTTTTTTTACACTGCTTGCTTTTACACCCATATAGGATGTAAAAGCAGTCATTTCTCTTTCTCTCTGTGTGCATTCCTGCACTCATTGAGAAACACAGAGTGAGCTGTGATTGGTCACAGCTTGTCACATGGTACAAGGCTTTTGTGAATAGCCTTGTACCATGTGACCTCTGTGATCATTCACAGATTTCACACATAGTAAGCAATGATGTCACAAGTGACATCTTGCTTACTACTTTGCATGTGATCACTGATTGGCCAATCAGTGATCACATGATCGGGACCTCGTACAGAGGGTACCGTCCGAAGATCGGTGTTTCACTGTGTCCGGAGGACACAGCGGGCACCGGATCGCGGTGCTGCGCGCTCCCAGGGAGCGCGCACAAGCAGGGTGCGGGGAGGCCGTTTATAGACGGCCACCCGACCCTGCAGTGCCACCGTCCGGCCGTTTATATACAACGGCCGGTCGGGAAGTGGTTAAGAGGCTCCTCTGTCCTGCACTCATTATCTGTATCAATGGCACCTGTTTGAACTTGTTATCAGTATAAAAGACACCTGTCCACAACCTCAAACAGTCACACTCCAAACTCCACTATGGTGAAGACCAAAGAGCTGTCGAAGGACACCAGAAGCAAAATTGTAGACCTGCACCAGGCTGGGAAGACTGAATCTGCAATAGGCAAGCAGCTTGGTGTGAACAAATCAACTGTGGGAGCAATAATTAGAAAATGGAAGACATACGAGACCACTGATAATCTCCCTCGATCTGGGGCTACAAGCAAAATCTCACACCGTGGGGTCAAAATGATCACAAGAACAGTGAGCAAAAATCCCAGGACCACACGGGGGGACCTAGTGAATAACCTGCACAGAGCTGGTACCAACGTAACAAAGGCTACCATCAGTAACACACTACGCCGCCAGGGACTCAGATCCTGCAGTGCCAGACGTGTCCCCCTGCTTAAGCCAGTACATGTCCGGGCCCGTATGAAGTTTGCTAGAGAGCATTTGGATGATCCAGAAGAGGATTGGGAGAATGTCATATGGTCAGATGAAACCAAAATAGAACTGTTTGGTAGAAACACAACTCGTCCTGTTTGGAGGAGAGAGAATGCTGAGTTGCATCCAAAAAACACCATACCTACTGTGAAGCATGGGGGTGGCAACATCATGCTTTGGGGCTGTTTCTCTGCAAAGGGACCAGGACGACTGATCCATGTACAGGACAGAATGAATGGGGCCATGTATCGTGAGATTTTGAGTGCAAACCTCCTTCCATCAGCAAGAGCATTGAAGATGACACGTGGCTGGGTCTTCCAACATGACAAGGATCCCAAACATACCGCCCGGGCAACGAAGGAGTGGCTTCGTAAGAAGAATTTCATGGTCCTGGAGTGGCCTAGCCAGCCTCCAGATCTCAACCCCATAGAAAACCTTTGGAGGGAGTTGAAAGTCCATGTTGCCCAGCGACAGCCCCAAAACATCACTGCTCTAGAGGAGATCTGCATGGAAGAATGGGCCAACATACCAGCAACAGTGTGCCAACCTTGTGAAAACTTACAGAAAACGTTTGACCTCTGTCATTGCCAACAAAGGATATATAACAAAGTATTGAGATGAACTTTTGATATTGACCAAATACTTATTTTCCACCATAATTTGCAAATAAATTCTTTCCAAATCAGCCAATGTGATTGTCTGGATTTTTCTTCTCATTTTGTCTCTCATAGTTGAGGTCTACCTATGATGCCATTTACAGGCCTCTCTCATCTTTTTAAGTGGGAGAACTTGCACAATTGGTGGCTGACTAAATACTTTTTTGCCCCACTGTACATGTATATACACACGATTTTGCGCACCCCTGCCATCCTATAGCAGTATTTCTGCTATAGGGTGGCGGGGGGAAGAAAGCGGTTAATATACTTGCACTAAGCTAATGCTTATGCAGTTCCCCACAGATGGATAATGTGTACGTAAAGTGGCATTAACCCAAAAGCAAACTTTTTTTTTTTTCATATTGCAGCTTACCATTCCTTAGATGTGGTAACTACCTTTTCTTTTTTAGGCTTTCTTTTTTTTTATGTGGTGACCCTGCCTTTTTCAACAGAACAAGCTGTCCTGCAGATGTTGGGAGTTGAGAAAACCATTTACCACTAGTGTTGCCAACCCCCCCCCCCGAAGTGAAATGTCTCCAAAATTTACAAACAGCACCAATTTTTTACTGACAAAAATTATGAAATTTACTGACATCCACATTTTTACTGACACTTCACAAAAGTACATACAATCAGCGTTTTAAATTTAAAACAGTGCAAATATCAATATTTAGGCTATAAACCTAAAGCTAGTGCAATGTATTTAAGTTATAAGAAAAGTCAGAAACTATATATATTTCCATGAAGGTGAGGTTGATATAACCCAGCCAGCACAGAGTTTCCCCTTACATCAGAGTCTGCAGGATTCCCCTTACAGTGCAAGTGAACTCTGATGTAAAAGGGAATACTGTGGATCATGATGTAAGAGGGAATGCTGCAGACTTTTGGTATAAAGAGGAACTCTGATATAAGGTGGTCTTTGGTCACCAGAGCCCCCCTTACATCAGAGTCCACAGTGTTCCCCTTTACATCAGAGTTCCCACTTACATCAGGGTCTGCAGTGTTGCCCTTCACATCAGGGTCTGCAGAGTTCTCCCTTGCGCTGTAATGGGCAATCTGTAGACGCTGATGTAAAGCGTAACTCAGAGGACAGTGATTTAAGGGGGAATGCTGGGAATACTGATGTGGGGGGGACGCATGCGCAGTTCCATAGTCAGCCCACAGCCATATTTTTCATGAACTGCCACTGTCCGTAGCGGACATTTACAAACAGTTTATAACTGGGTTAAAATTTATAGACTGTAAATTTATGGACAGTTGGCAACACTGTTTTCCACTGACATGGGTGCTTACAATGATCAGCTTTTATTTATGGAAAACCTTTATTCCAAAAGGAACAAAACTGTTGCTGAAACTGACAATGCTGCTGCTCAAAGGTGTCTCCGTTGTACCTTCATCCAGAGTGTAGGCACTCTATTAGAGGAAGGGTGGTACTGGCCTGATCACCAGGTGAAAATGGAAAAATAAACTAAAAAAAGAAAACTAATGCAGCCACCACATTTAACCACTTTAACACAGGGCACTTTTACCCAATTCCTGCCCAGACTAATTTTCAGCTTTCAGTGCTCTTGCACTTTGAATGACAATCAGTCATGCTACACTGTACCTCAACAAAACTTTTATCATTTTTTCACAGAGATAGAGCTTTATTTTGATGGTACTTAATCAACACTGGGTTTTTTATTTTTTGTGAAATAAGTGACAAAATAGCGAAAATTAAAAAGAAAAACACTTTTTTTTAGTTTCTATTAAAAAATTTGGAAGTAAGTAAATTATTTTTATACGTTTTGGCCAAAATTTTTACTGCTATATTTCTTTGGTAAAAATAACCCAAATCAAGGTATATTACGGTATTTAGTCTGTGTGGAAGCTGAAAATTGATCACACCTGAAAAATACAACCCCCCCCCAAATGACCCCTTTTTGGAAAGTAGACAGTCCAAGCTATTGGGAAAATGAAGACATTATTTATTTATACCACAAAATTGTCATATTAACAAGTTATTTCTCACACACAGCATATGCATACACCCCAAACACATTCTGCTACTCCTCCTGAGTATGGCGATACCACATATGTGAGACATTTTCACAGCCTGGACACATACAGAGGCCCAAGATCCGAGTAGCATCATCAGACGTTCTAGAGGCATAAATCACTGTATTTTACGCTCCATAAGATGCACTTTTTCCTCCTAAAAAATGGGGGGAAATGTCTGTGCGTCTTATGGAGCAAATATGGTGTTACAATACCGGGCCGGCCGCTTGGCTGTTCTGTGGCAGCGCCAGGCACGGCCCAAAGCAGCTGCCCCTTAAAGCGGAGTTCCAGCTGAAAAAAAAAAAAAAAAGTCAGCAGCTATAAAAACTGTAGCTGCTGACTTTTAAAATACAGCCACTTACCTGTCTTCACCACCGCTGGTTTCACTGGTCATCTTCTCTCCTTGGGGCCATTATCTTTAGTGTGGGCACACGGCTGTGACAGTTCACAGCTTCACAGCTGGGTGCCCACTGCGCATGCGCGAGAAGCGCTGCGCTTTGTGAATGGCCCCGTAGTCTTCAGGGACCTGTCACGTGTCCCAGAAGACTATGAAGAGGGAGGACAACTTCCACTTCAGATCGCTTAGGCAATCGCAGCAGAAGTGGGAGCAGGTACCTGTGAAATTTGGGTACCCGCTCCCCAAAAGTCTGCAGTCTCTGGTCATCTCCTGTACTGTGTCCGCAGTCTCTGGTCATCTCCTGTACTGTGTCCGCAGTCTCTGGTCATCTCCTGTACTGTGTCCGCATTCTCTGGTCATCTCCTGTACTGTGTCTGCAGTCTCTGGTCATCTCCTGTACTATGTCCGCAGTCTCTGGTCATCTCCTGTATCTCCTGTCTATGCTGCAGTCTCTGGTCATCTCCTGTACTATGTCCGCAGTCTCTGGTCATCTCCTGTACTATGTCCGCAGTCTCTGGTCATCTCCTGTACTATGTCCGCAGTCTCTGGTCATCTCCTGTACTATGTATGGCAGTCTCTGGTCATCTCTTGTATTATGTCCGCAGTCTATGGTCATCTCCTGTAGTATATCTGCAGTCTCTGGTCATCTCCTGTAGTACATCCGCAGTCTCTGGTCATTTCCTGTACTATGTCCGCAGTCTCTGGTTATTTCCTGCATTATGTCTGCAGTCCATTGGTTCAGATTATTTTTTTTTTTGTTTTCTTCTTCTAAAACCTAGGTGTGTCTTATGGTCAGGTGCGTCTTATGGAGCGAAAAATATGGTACACTTTTAATTTCCTGACTACCTATCACATTTTTGAAGGCCATGGAGCACCAGAACAATGGAATTACCAACAAAATTACCCTATTTTGGAAAGCAAACACCCCAACGTATATTCTATGAGGCATAATGAGTCTTTTGAACATGTCATTTTTTCCACAAGTTTTTGAAAAATGTGGAAAGGAAATGAAAACATTTTTTTTTTTTACAAAAAGTTGTAAATTTAAAAGATATTTCTAACATATAGCATGTACATACCAAGAATTACACCCAAAAATGCATTCTGATACTTGTCCTGAGTTTGGTGATACCACATGTGTGAGACTTTTACACAGCCCGGCCACATACAGAGGCCCAACATCCAAGTAGCACCATCAGGCGTTCAAGGGGCATAAATTACACTTTTAATTAGAATTACACCCCAAAATACATTCTGCTACACTGACTGAGTATGGTGATACCACATGCATGAGGCTTTTGCACAGCCTAGCTAAACAAAGGATAAACAAAAGGTTACCTGTGGTTATAGTAGAGAAGTTACCTACAGAGGAGAACAGTGGTCCAGGAAGAAGGCAGAGATTTGGTCAGTAATAGCCAAATGAATAGTCCAGGCATCAGGCAGGAACATAGTCCAAAAAAGTCCTGGGTCATTACAGGCAGCAGGCAGAGATATGGTCAGCACAGCCACAGTACTGTTTCAGGTAGCAGGCAAAAACATGGTCCATAAAAAGTCCTGGTTCATTACAGGCTGTAGGCAGAGATATGGTCAGCACAGTATTGGTCCAGGAATCAGGAAGGAACATCAGGCTTAGGGCCTCAGTCAGGTAAGACCTGGCCACAGGGGTAGAGGCTTTGTCCCACCCAATCTTTTCAAAGCCTCCGCACTAACAGACCCTGATCTGGGAATTACAAAACCCAGTAAAAACCAAAAACTGATTTTCTCTACTCTGAAGCCCCTCACATATGTGCGACCCCTATGTTATCTTGCATCCCACTACTACAGTAGCAGGGCAAAAGATCAGTTCAAGCGGCAGGCAAAAAAATATGGTCAATTAACAGGCCGAGGTCAGTGCAGGTGGAAGGCAGAAACGTGGTTTAGAAACAATCCAGACGGCAGGCAAAAGCATTGGCGGTAAACAGGCCAGACCAGGGTCAGTTCAGGTGGAAGGCAGAAAAACGGTTTAGAAACAATCCAGACGACAGGCAGAGGAATCGTTGGTAAACAGGGTCAGTTAACGTGGAAGGCAAAGGCATGGTCAATCAAGGCAGCAGGCAAATGATCAGCATGGATTTTGGAAACTGAGAAATGGCAGGCTGTTAAAAATAAGGGGAACTAATATTTTAGTGACGTGTGATAACGTCTCCGATGCATAGGCCTGGTTGGGAGGGACACTGGGGACAATGAACACTGGTGTCTTTCTGAACTCCTCTTCTGCTGCATACCCGACATTTTTTGGTGTCTTCTTCCTGATTCTGTGTGTGGAATGTTTTCTGGAAAATGTTGCTCGTGAAGGCTGCTCACACAATTAGAGTGAATGTTTTCTGGAGGGGATCCTTGCTGGTTGATCAGGGCAGTGATAATTTCTTCTATATATTTGAGGAAGGTGGTGGGTCTTTCTGTTGATTTTTGATAGATGAGAAACGCAATGTAAATAGCCAAATAGAAAAAATAAATTGCAACTTTTTTATACCAGAAGAGGGGCTTTCTTGTTGATGTATAGTCTGAAGCATCTGATCAATTAAATCCCCCCCCCATGAACTGATTATAATTGTGGATACATTCAGGTTTTTGGATGGGACCACGTCTTCCATGAATTTCCACCGAGGTGTCATTGTGGATAGTGGACAGGACAAAAACATCTCTCTTATCCCTCCATTTCATGGCCAACACTTCCTCGTTTCTCAGACTTGCGGATTCCCCCCTTGTAGCCTTGTGGTTACTAAACTTCGTGGGAAGCCCTTTCTATTTTTTGGGTGGTACTGCAGGCTAAGGTTTTCCTACTGTACAGATGCTGGAAAAGGGGCACACTGGTATAATAGTTATCAAGTTAGATATGATAACCTTTTTTGGAACAATGGGAACGCAAGGTCACAGACAATTTTGCCACTTGTGCTCATGTAGGTTGGGCACTCAGGAGGCTGGAGCAGGGAGTCTGCCTTCATACACGTGGAATGCATG